TGGGCAAATTTGCCATTAATCAAAATAATTCATATCTGGATTGTGATGAAAAAACAAAAATAAATAACAAAATAAATAACATTTTGACTTACTTAAATTATTTTTGTTATTAAATCAAAGTTTTTATAAATGAAAAAAAATATAAACAAATTGATTAATCGATTTAAAAAAAATACTCTTTGCGTTCAATAATTATATAGTTGTCATTACTAAGGATATCGCCATACAAATTCAACGAAGTGAATGTGTTGTAACACATTTGAATTTATTATATTACAATTTTAAAATTTGTATTAATTTTTGTTTTGAACAGTCAATAAAAAATACAATAAATAATAAATCAGTTTTGTAATAATAGATAATTGAATTAAACAAACAATATTTTAAAGTAAAAACATTGAATAATGTAAAACCAAAATGATAAAAATGTTTTTAGTCATCAAGAACAATTGAATACATTTGTCATAACCCAAACAACCGGTTTAATTGTTTATAAATTACAACAATACATACAATAAAACTACGAATAACAAAGACACATTATCAATAAAGTACACTTTTACTACAAACACAACTTAATATATAAAAATTTAATCATGAAAAATGTAAAGATGTCGGAATAATAACTTATTAGAGTATATGATGAACACTACATTAAACAGCTGAGTAATGTTTATAACCAAAATATCATGTAAATTATTAACAACAACACAAACAATGAAAATAATTAATTAGGTTGTATTGATTAATTTCTATGATGAAATTAATTTAATTACGTTAATTATTAAAAATGTGATTTAAAAAATGAAGTCGATTAACATATGTATAGTTTTACACATTTAAAGTTGTCTCTAAGTTGTATACCTTTTAATTAATTGAAAAAACAAAGTTAGTGCATTACAAAACGTTTGAATATGTAAATAAAAATAAACATTTGTGTTAATTTTTTTATTGATATTTTTTGATAAAATATTAAGAGTTAAATAATTTAATTTCTGATTAGAGCTTATGTTTAATAATTGTGACATTTCGTTTGTTCAATGAAAAATCTTTAAGAATTTGTCATAGTATAATACTTTTTATAATTTTAGTCATTGCGTCGTTATTCACAAATATAATACAGCAACTTATGTTAACAATTATATGCAAGTGTTATTTATTGTTTTATTTTTACTTAATTATCATAATATT